CGTCTCATCTGGGTGCTGAATGGTGAATAGCCTGTTCAGGAAAGCTTTTAAGCCTCGCACATCAATCTATTGCATATTTCCGAACCACCAAATATAGAATCATGATATCTTGTTAAGGTGAATACAACTCCATGTAGGGTCGTGATATCATGGTATCACATAAAGGTAACCATCTCATATAGGGTTATGGTATCTAATACATATGATATCCACCAAACATGTTTTCTCATAAAGGGAATAACAAACAATTACAGTATCGTGATACATAGCTCCATCTCCAAATAGAACAATACATTCTTAGATGGCTTAATCTGCCTCAATCAAACCTCAATCTGCCTCAATCGAACATCAATCTGCCTTAATCGAACCTCAAGCTGCCTCAATCTGCCTCAATCTGCCTCAATCGAACCTCAATCTGCCTAAATCGAGCCTGAATCTGCCTGAATCTGCTTCAATTTAGCCTCAATCTGCCTTAATCGAACCGCAATCTGCCTCAATCGAACATTAATCTGCCTCAATCTGCCTCAATCGAACCTCAATCTGCCTTAATTTGCCTCAATCGAGCCTCAATCTGCCTCAATTGAACCTCAATCTACCTCAATCTGCCTCAATCGAACCTCAATCTGCCTCAATCTAACCTCAATCTGCCTAAATCGAGCTTCAATCTAGCTTCAATCTGCCTTAATCTGCCTCAATCAAACCTCAATCTGCCTCAATCAAACCTGAATCTGCCTGAATCTGCCTCAATTTAGCCTCAATCTGCCTCAATCGAACCTCAATCTGCCTCAATCGAGCCTCAATCGAACCTCAATCTGCCTCAATCGAACCTTAATCAAACTTCAATCGAACAACAATATGCCTCAATCGAAAAACAATCTGTCTTAATCTGCCTCAATCTGCTTCAATCGAACCTCAATCTACCTCAATCGAACCTCACTCTGCCTCAATCGAACCTCATTCTGCCGCAATCTGCCTCAATCTGCCGCAATCCAACCTCAATCTACCTCAATCTGTCTCAATCTGCCTCAATCGAACCTCAATCTGCCTGAATCTGCCTCAATTTAGCCTCAATCTGCCTCAATCTGCCTCAATCGAGACTCAATCGAACCTCAATCTGCCTCAATCGAACCTCAATCGAACTTCAATCGAACAACAGTATGCCTCAATTGAAAATCAATCGGTCTCAATCTGCGTCAATCTGCTTCAATCGAACCTCAATCTGCCTCAATCGAACCTCACTCTGCCTCAATCAAACCTCATTCTGCCGCATCTGCCTCAATCTGCCGCAATCCAACCTCAATCTGCCCTAATCGATCCTCAATCTGCCTCAATCGGATTGAGGTTTAATACCCTTGTTTTACATCTACTGAGAGGTTGGTCTTCCCAGAGATTGTCCAGACCACACAGAAGCCAGACATTGTGATATGGTCTGCTAAAGACAAGAAGCTGGTGACCACATAACTCACTGTTCCATGGGAATCGAGGTGCGCCATGGCATATGGACGCAAGTAGGCCAAGTACGCCGAGCTAAGTACCCTCAGGATCAAAGAAGGCGGGAGAAAGCGAGCTGTTGGGAGACTTGGACAATCAGCAGGGAGAGCATCAAGCTGGCTGACGATCAAGAGGGAGGTTAACCACTGAGCAGTAGTGCTTGATAAGCACTGCGGTTCCAGCGCCCGGAGAGTGTCGGATACAGTGTAATTTATGTTTTTGGCAAATTGTAATATTTAAAGGTGCATTCTACTGTGTTTGTCTTTACATCTATCAACTGTGGACCAACGACAGAACCTTGTTGCACACCTATTACCATATCAAAAGGAGACTTAGAACAGAACCTTGCCGCACTCACAACTTATTGGGTTAACGCACATGCCCTCTGTTGGGATAAACATATTTGGACAGATCAAACAGAAGGCAAAGGCAGATCAAGGACACATGTGTGAACTGAAGTTCTTGAGATAGATAAAGAGAGCCTAGGGAAGAAGAAAAGTCAATGCTGCAGCAATTAAAAAATACCCAGAGGGCATACCTAATATGCCTCTGCAAAGCAGAGCAGCTGCGTGACAAGAGGAAGAAAAGCGCCAAGCGTCGAGTTGAGTTCATATCAAATTCATTCAAGTTTTCCAAACATCTGCTAGATAAAGAGAAATCAGACGAGATAGAGAGATGCATAAAGAGAAATCAGACGAGATAGAGAGATGCATGGAAGAAATCACTCAGTTCCTGATAAAAACGCACAGCCAACCTCTCCACTTAACAACAAGGAACCTAGTCTGAAAGAGGTAATCGAAGTGGTGAAGAAGGCAAGAACAGTGTCAACACCAGGACCAAATGATATTTCCTATAAGGTATATACAATGAGTTTAAAGCTTCTACGACGACTTTGGAATCTACCGAAAGTGGTTTGGAGGAAAGACAAAGTAACAGATTGTTGGCAACAGGCAGAGGGAATATTTTCATCAAAGGCAAAGAGTTAAAAGAACATTGCACAATTCAGAACCTTACTCAACGTGGAGGGGAAACTATTCTTTGATATGATGGCCAAACGAATGACAACTTCACTTGACATCAAATCAGTGCATTGACACAAAATACGTCTGCTGCGCCCATTGCAATATTTTGGATCTTTATCTTTCTTTCTACTTCTAACTACCTTTTATATCCTAGCGCCTTGCTTGGCAACACCTCACTTTTGGCTTGAATATTGAACGTTCACTCAGGGGAGGAAGGCAAGGCCCCAGGCCGAGACGTACCAAAGTCCTTAAAATGGTAGCTGGTATTCCCTGCTTAACGTTTAGCATTAAGGGGAATGGCAACAACTGGGTCACCCGTTGTCAGTATAATGTGACCAGGCGATATGCTGTGCTGGGTGCTTTCGACATGGTGTTTCAGTGAGATTCGGCATCAGATCCGCGCTATCACAAGTAGGCAATCACCAACATACCCTGTCTCCTGTACACACACGTGCAAGCACGCATACACTACACACATGGAGGCACGTCCTTAAATGACCTTAGCTGTTAATAGGACGTTAAACAAAATTAAACCAAACCAAACCAAACCTCAGTGCAGAAAGGATGAGTACCAGGTTTTTCGGGATTCATCAGTCAGATCATCAGAGAAGCTAAGGTAAACCACAACGACCTCACAGTTGTCAGGCTAGACCTCGCCAACGCTTATGGTTACATACCACACAAGCTTACCGAGACCGCACTGAAGCACTACCACGTCCCAGACCATGTTCAAGGGATCATCAATGGTTACTTCAGGGGCATTCAACTGCGGTTCGATGTGTTGAAATGTCAACACCATGGCAGAAGCTCGAGAAGTGAATAGTAATTGGCTGTACTATTTCAGTTGGTATATGGGCGAAAGAAGGCAACGTATACCAGTGCAGAAGCTGCGTTTGGAAAACATGGCTTTCCCCGATTGAGATTGGTGCCAGATGATTCTCCGCACAATCAATGGAAAATGCTAAGTGCCCTAGGAATCAAAGGAGACGAGAGAAAGCGAGCTGTTGGGAGACTATGACAATCATCAAAAATGGTAACTTGGCTTTATATTGCTTTAAGGAACTTCTTCTCTGAAACTTAGCAAGGATATCAATTATATTTGACTGGTAGCATCCCTAGGAAGTGGCGATTTAAAACAGTACAAATGGTGGGGCTGACCCTCCAGGGGGCTGAGGATATCAACTATAATTTGTTGGAAGCATCCCTAGGTGGTAAGAATTAACAATCGTACAAATGGACAAGCTGACCACCCCCGGCCCCTTATACAAAATAGTTTATAACTTGAAAATGGTTCAGATCCCCACCATATAACCAGATATACAATTGCTGAGAGTAAAGAGATGAATGCATATATGCTTCCATTATGGCTCTGGGGTCTGGCCCCCACCTTCAGAGACTAAGTCCCGGGGTCATAACTTTAAAACGGTTGATATCCCTACCACAAAACTAAATATACAATTGCTGCACAATCATGATATAAGCATTGACTCTTGGGTCTGGCCACACCCCTAGGGACCTTGTCTTTGAGTCACAACTTGGAAACAGTTGCGATTCCCACCCTTTTACCATATATACAATTGCTGAGTATAAAGAGACGAACACACAAATGCTTCCATGATGGCCTGGGTTCTGTCCCACCCTTGTAGACTCAACCCCTGGGTTATAACTTCGAAACGGTTGAGATCCCCACCCCAAAACTTTATATATATTTGCTTGGCATAAAGAGACAAATGCAGTCATGATATTAGAATTGACCCCGGGGTCTGGCCATAACCCTAGGGACCCAGTTTCTGTGAATCACAACTTGGAAACAGTTGGGATATCTACCCCATAACCAAACATACAATTGCTGGGCATGAACAATCAAATACAGATATGCTATAGGGATTAACATTGGGGTCTGGCCCTATCCCTGGGATCTTATTTGGGGAATATTTTGCCATGATTTCTTAGATATCCAGGTGAGTGATACAGACCCCCTGGGCCTCTTGTTATTGAGATATTGGCCTTGTTGATTTATTATAGGCTAACATTGCAAAGTGACATTTTTCTAAATAAATTTCAATGTATCGAAGTTACATACCTCAAGCGTTTTTTAAATGCGACTTATCAAGTGGTGATATTTAGGTTGGTCGTAACATCTTTTAAAGGATTTGTTGAAAATTAAAACAATTGTTTGGTATACCATTACCGGTTGGTCTGTATGCTATTTATCATATGGCACGCCTGCTTAGTGTTAAACATTCTAAAAGATCAGAGTGATGTGTGTACAACTTGAGTATGCTGGGTTTCCAAAATGAGATGATAATTAAAACATTTAACAAATAGGTACATTGTAGTCATACATACACATGTAAAAGTCGTATACATGACGTAGACTTTATATGTTGTATACTTCCTATATTATCTTTTCATTGATTGGTTCAACCCAGGCTCGAATTGACTTGTTCCGTTCCTTGTATGAATTGAATCATTAAGCAGAAGGTGTAAAATATATAGATGAACTTTATTTACAAATCAAACGTAATGACATCGATACAACATATATAGCTGCCACTAGAACATCAAACTCGCTCGTACAGCTACAATTTTGTATCCCGATTCTACTTAAAGTCCAAACTATGCTTTGTCCAAATTTACAAATGTAAATATGGACCCATACAAAAAATCTACATTTTTTCATTGTAAACGGGATTTAAAAAAGGAATTTATCAAAAATAAATGTTACGATTTCTAAAAGATTATGTTTCCTATGTAACTTTTTACTGTACTATGCTTTTTGCAGTTTCAGTTGTTAGGGAAATTACGATAGCGTATTGATTCAAAGAAAAATACAAAAATCACAGTTATCGAAAACTTCCTCAACTCATGATTACTGGCGTAGTGCACCTTTGATCTGATTTGGGTGTCACAAATTGTGGTCACGTGACACCCAATGAAAAAGGCACTAGAAAGTCCACATTCTTTATTCAGTGTTACGGAAAATTTTCACCAAATATGTCTATCTTCAGACGTTTGGCGCTATTTCCCAGACTGTTGATTTTGTTAGCAATCTCCTCCATTGTTACACCTTGCTCAATCATTTCTTCGTGTTGGGTATTGACACCCTCTGAGAATGCCTGTACCGGGAATCCTCTCGCCAACATCAAAGTGCAAATCGGTTCTTCGTCATTGTTTCCCATAACGATTCCGGGTGACCCAGACGCTGCATGCTGGACCCAACAATCGAACAGAACTTTCCCTTTATCCCAGATTCCCTCATACCCAGGCTTTACTTCGTCATTTGCGATCATATAACCACGTCGATTGCTGTTCTTATCAGCATCCAGATCAAAAAGTTCAATATTAGAATCGAATTGCATTATTTCACTATTCGGTTTTGTTGGGTGGCCAAGCAATGCAAATACTTGCTTGTAGTCTGGTTTACCAAATTTTCTTATTGGTTGAGGGATTTCAGATTCTCCAGAGTCCAATTCCAAAATTGCGAAATCAAGTTTCTCGTCGTATACTGGCCGCTCAGGTTTAAAATGAAATTGTTCACCGTTTGTTTTTGGAAAATGGAACTCTATCCAGACATGTTTGGAGCCTAGCTTTGACCAGTCTTCAGTGTCACCTATGTTTTCTTCTGGAAAGAAATATAATTCCATTGACGTATATCTAACACGACAATTTTGTACTGAATTCCTGAATATAACATATTTTGTACATGTACCATATGTTATACTGCATGTCCCCCAACTCTCTTCTAACTTCCTCTGTAATGTATCCCTATTCACGTCACTATCCCTAAGTCATAGCTGTTAATGTTGGGTACGATGAAAGGTAACAGATGTATATAAGTGCATTAACACTTGTTTCTGTCTCTAATTTATTTTAAAAACTTAAGAAATTTAAACTAACAGGAACACTATATGTCTTAACACCAGATTATAATATCTGTTCCAGATAGCATACCATAACAGATAGTGCTTGGGTATATTGATTTATTTAAACATGAATATTAATGTAAATTTTATACTTTGCATTCATAATGCATTTTACAAGAAGACGTACAAAAATGATCAGATATAAAAAAAATAGTATAAATTATAACATTTAGGAGCGTAGTAATGGACAAAACAAAATTTGTCAGTGGAAGTTAGAAAATATCATTGATTTGAAAGGCACACTTCAAATCTTATTTAATGTTTTTTTTTTTTTTTATCTTGTTCCGATAAAATAACCGATAGGTATAGAAGTCCAATAATACTGAAACATATGGTACGGAAAGGATACCAATAAGTTAAACTGTCTTATTACTATTATCACTTTTGTAAAGCTTAGCTCAAGAAGTATTCCACGAAATGCACACGTTACAATGCATTTGTACAAAGCTATGGTAGCTCGAAGTTGATTAATTGATAACAGAAATATAAAGAAAACTGCAGGACATTTTCATTGCGAAGACTTCACTTTACAAATGTTGCCATCTAGGAACTATAAACGCAATTCCTCAAAATAAGTTGCCAATATATAGGCAATGCCTTGACAAGGGAAGTTTATTTAAGTCTGTAAATATCGGAGTAGAATCATCTTTCTTATTAACTTACTTGTTATGTCTTTTGCGACATGATAGGCAGTGAGAATGTACTTGGTACCAACTCTTATCCCTGTTCCGGTGTATTGTGGCCCTCTGATGCGTCCAACAGCGTTTCTTGCACGCGTCCACACGTCAATTATTCTTGCGTCATGGGTATTGTCCATCTGTTTTCTAAACTGATAAGGACGGTCTTCTTCAACTATAGAGAGAACATATCGGAAGTTATTTTACTGCTGATTATTTTGTAGGTGTTGGTATATAGTTTATATATAAGTAGTGAACAGGTCATTTTCAGTGTTCAACCCGTCATGAAAATTGTTAAGTATACTTCAATACATTTATTTACATTCTACATTTATTGTTATTCCTGATGTTCATGTGGATATTATCTTATATTTTTGATATTTAAGCGCGTGTCGTCAAACGCGAGACTCCTGGAACAGCCTAACGTAACCAATTTCTAACGGTTAAATGACGCCGGTCGAACTGCGTCCATAGCCCTATAATATAATAATATAACTAATAAGACTAATGTTAACATGTGTCGTTGCTCTACATGTTAGCATACAAGACACGTCTGCCTGGTCACAGATATTGTGCATAGTGCAGCTCCGCTCTTATGCTATATCATTATTCATTACAGTTTAATAACTGGATTGATTACATGTTTCTTTCAAATATTTTGTAATATTGTTGGTTCTATACTATTAGCAATATATCGATATTAATAAATTGAATATTTTTATTTATGTGTAAGAACGAAGAAGATGCTTTAATTAATTCCTCTCATTGTAATACAACCTGAAAGTGCTACGATTGGTCAAAACCGTGGGAACATATTCCTACTACAGGTAATACCTTTACTCACAATACCACATGATGCAATAACTTTTATTTTAATGAATTTGAAATGTTAATTTTTTCATTGTCATATTCATTGGATATAAAACTATTTATTTTAAAAAAAAAATCTGGAACTTCTTTGTACTGCGTGGTACAAAAATACTCGAATTTTTATAAATAGAATCTTACTTTCTTGTCCATACGTCCCTGCAGGTAGGGCGTAAGAATTGTACCTGCTGCCCCCATTGCATAATCGTAAGAGGCGACTAAATTCGGGATCTTATCTTTTCTCATCTTTCTAAACAAGTTTCTTCTTCCTCATGTCTCCCTTGACAATGTCTCACTTTTGGCCTTTAGTTGAGCGTTCGCACCTGTGAGGAAGGCTTTGGGTTCTGTCCCCTGGCCGAGACATACCAGAGTCTGTAAAAATGGTAGTTTCTACTTCTGCTTAACGCTATTGACAGTATAATGTGACCGGGTGGGGTGTCCTCTTGGGTGTCCCGGCAGTATGTTTCAGTGATATAGCACTATAAAGTCGGCATCAGTTCCGCGCTATCACAAGGAGACAAACACGAACATATCGCAGCCTCCCAAAACACACATGCATACACTACACGCATGCATCTTGCACACAGGGAGGCCGTCCCTAAATGACCATAGCTGTTGATAGGACGTTAAACAATACAGAACCAAACCTAACCAAACCAATCGTGTGTATATACTGAATTATTAAACTCATTCAATAACTTGTTATGCCATTTATACTAAAGTAAGATCCTATATATATGCTAGAAACCTCATGTGTTAATGAATAACGCGAAATATACCACTAGAGTGTAATAATCTTAATCTTCGTGCAACTGTTATCGTAAGGGCCATTCGGTGTCTCCGATAAAGTAACTTCTTGAAGAATAAAAAAGTTCGTAAATGATTTGAAGCATTCTCCATTTAATAAAAACTGTGGCGTTTTGTCCTCACACACACCTTTCGTACATTGTAAAATTTACAAAAAAATCATACTCGCCTTTTCTCCATTTCTCCTTTCTAAGCTTGGAGTCAACTACCGGATCCTGGTCACCACTCGGTCCTTGTTTTCCTGCAGACGTAGATCAGGCATGCTATTGATACGACTTCATTCATATTTTTTGTGAATCCAATTATTTAACAAAACATTGCTGAACTTAACTAAAACGTTTGGTTACTTAATTAAAGGAGGAAAGCTCTCGATGTCGAATAATTGACTCCACGTGCCAAGCCTCCTCGCATTAAAAACATATTTCTAGTTGATATACACAATATGCTTGGTAGCGTTTGAAAGATGGATAATGTTTCTTTTAAAACGCAAAGTGTATTCCCCTTTAATTGAAATGATTCACGTATCCTTCAAAAACACACGCACAATCTGTTTTCGACGTGTTTGCAGTCATAGAGATAGGCCTTAATTGTCTAATTTAGTGCTGATTCTTATCCTAAGACGGGTATGCTGGCTTAGGTAATAGTCTCAGACAGGAGCAGATTGTTATTTATTTTCCCTTGAAATTTTCCCCCTGATTTGGATCATGTATTAATATTGTGCACCAGTAATATAGGACAACTGTGTTTTGTCTCATAATTTGCAGTATTGTGTGTTTTCTGTCCAATTGTGTGTGCTTGCTTGCTATTTGCTTTCGCTGTTGTGTATTATACTTGTTCACATATATATTTCTAGATGTACATATAGATAGCAAATAAACTTTATTGATCTGTATTTCTATATTTATTATTGGAATTTGTAATATTTTGTATGATCGGAATGTGATGTTGTTGACTTTGATTGTATGTACACTTAACTACTGGTAAAGACGGGCAAGCTGGCTTTATACAGTACTTTGAGTGTGTCTGTCTTTTCTGTAAATATTTAGTTTAGATATCTATTTTATTTAGATATATAATATATATCATATTTCTACAAAGTCGACATCACATAGGCATTACATGTGTTGAAATTGTGATTTTAACATGGCGGAGAAACGACCAATAAACATAAACACGGCTAGTCTGGAGGAGCTCAAAGCAATTCATGGTATCGGGGATAAGCACGCTCAGGTGATCATGGAGATTAGGAGGAAGAAAGAAGGGCCATTAACATTGGAGGATGTTAAGTTATCACCTAACTTGGTCAGCGCGATTTGGGATCCATTATTGGAGGCAAATGTGATAACTTTCGGAGACAAACGGGATTCTAATCAGCTTGAGCTGGAATCTAGAATTGAAGTGTTGGAGCAAGAGCTGGCCAGGAGAGATAGAGGTATGGAGGATCTAAAAAGGGAATACAATGATGCACTAGGTAGGATAGAGGAGAGATATGAGGTGCAGAGACTAGAGTTTGAGCAGAGGATGAAAAAGTCTGATCAGGAAAAAGAAGACATGTTAACGGAACTTTGTAGAAGGCAGGAAGTAAAGGTTGAGAATCCTAGTTCCACTACAGAGGAAGTTATTAGGATGATGGCCCCTGATGGAGTGTATACTCATCGAAAGACATCCCAACCGGACAGAAGGGCATTTAATGGGAGGGGAAAACAGGAACAGAGTGATGATTTCCGAGAGAAAAGGAAGCATTGGGACGGACCTGCGGCACCTAAAACGTCGACATATGATGGGAGAAGTGACTGGCGGCCGTACCATCTCCAATTCACCAGAATATCGGACAGATATCACTGGCTGGAAGATCAGAGATAAGACAAGTTGGTCGAGTGCTTGAGGGACAAGGCGCTAAAATTTTTCAGCACAAAATCAAATGCAGTGCAGAATGATTACCAACAGCTCTGCAAGAAGATGGACGAGAGGTTTGGTAGGAAAGACATGCCTCAGATCATTAGAAGGACCTTCGACAAGTCGTGGACGAGCCACTTGAAGAATTTGCAGACGGGGGTCAGGAGCTGGAAGCGGATGGATTTCCTAACTCGCCAGATAACTTCATTGAAATTGTGGCGGTGGATGCTTTCCTTAAGGGATGCAGTGACAAGAATGCACAGGGACGCGAAGTCGTTGGACGAAGCCTTAAAACTGGTTAAGGGGGCAATGACCAACTATAAAGTGATATATGGGTCGAGGAAACCGGAAGTGAGGAGAGTCTCCTTCGAGGAAAAAAATGGTGACTTAGCAGGATCTGTCAAGCAGATAGTAGGTAAGGAGACTGAGTCGACAGAGTTCGGTAAGATGGAGGATCGATGGAGGAAAACGGAGCGTGATGTTCAGGAACTAAAGAACAAGCTGGAAGCTGATGTCAATGAAATTAAGACTAAGCTTGGGTATGTTCTGGATTTGGTTACCAGGTCACATTCAGGTACGCCATCGCGAGGACCATCTCCTTCCAGTTCACCATCTAAGAAGTCTTACCGGTGCTACAGATGTGGCAGTGAGGACCATTTTATTAAAGACTGCCCGTCCCGGGAGCAAGAACGTTATAGGTCGCCATCTCCAAGAAGGGGATATGGGGGATCAGATAGTGCCAGATATAGATCACCATCCCCAAAACGGGATTTAAACGGCCAGGGACCAAGGAAGTAGGCCATTCCTTGGTTCACCAGGTACATACAGACAGTAAACCACCTGAGGATCAGATAAAGAAGGTTGTCCGGAGGTACAACCATAGCAACACTAGAGGGAAGACCATGTACATTCCCATTACAGTGAATAGTATCACAACTAAAGCTGTTGTGGACACCGCGGCACAGGTCTCGGTGATGAACAAGAGCTTCCATCAAGAATTAGAACCAGCTGTTAAAACAACACAACAGCTAACCCTTAAAGGAGTGGGTTATAATTCAGAGATTCAAGCGGATAGGACAGAAGCAACGAACACCAGAATAGGAGACATCAGTACAACCTGGAGTTGGGTAGTTGCTGATATAGAGGATACCATTATCCTAGGATTGGACTTCCTGGACCATCATCATGCAGTTATTGACATGTCCAACTATTGTGTATGGCTTGATCATTGCAGGATCCCAGCTACTGGTGTGAGTGATGGGGAACAGGATACTACTGCAATCTACCGGGTGTTAGTGGGAGAAAGGGTAACAGTTCCACCTCATTCTGTTCAGTTTACGAAGGTCCAGTTTAAAGGGAGATCCGGGCGGACTTCGCCGTCATCTTTGG